CCCGGATGCTCCTGGCTCTCCCTAAGTCCCGTGTGCGGCTCACCTGTTCGCCTTTAAGGTGTAAAGTCTCCCGGCGAGTAGGGGGTCGATGGGGTTCGTTAAATTTCTGGCGGAAGAAGATGACGTTGGTGTCTTCGGCTTCTGTCCGTGCAGTTTGGTGCGATCAGGTATCCGTCTGCTAGTTGTCCACTAGATAGGAAAGCTGCTTGAAGCATGTGTGTGTCGCCTGCACTGTGTGGTTTTGGCTCAGATAAATTTTCTTGCGCACTGCCGTTGGCCACTGAGTCGAGTTGGAGGAGATGCTACAGAGCGTCTGGAGGGGCACCGTCTCACTTTGTTAGGGGTACAGATGAGGAAAAGGGACTCCAAAGTGCTTGTCCGAGTGCTGCACGGGACGGGGCGTGTGTGGCCAATCTGGACCGGAACCCAAGACTTGGGGGAGTAGAGAAGTAGGAGCGCGCTGTTCTTTTAGACGGTCCTGCTTGGACGTTAGCGTTTTGACATGATGGACATAATAGACTCTCTGGATTGGGAGTTACCCGTAAAGGACCCCGATACGCTTGCCAGGTGAGTTTGCAAGTCAAGGCATTCATACTTTTGTCTCTTTGCAAAACAAAGGACATGCAGTGTAAGGTTTGTCCAGGTTTGACCATGGTCCACCAACTTAGAGCCATTTGGTGGTTGCTAGAAAACAGATGCCTGCAGCCCACCCCAGACCTACTGAATCAAAACTTCTTGGGTAAGGGCCAGGAATCTCCATTTTAACAAGAAAATTCCATTCTTTCACATGACTCACGTTCAGACCTTTGAAGCGTTCTCTGTCCAGTTTTTCAGACTTCTTCTCGGATTAAGTGGTTCCCTTTAGCTTTTCTTGATATGTCCATTCTTTTCAGTTCCCTCACTACCCTTTGAATTTTGTGTCCATAGATTTCAGGTTTGTTTATGTCCTGTTTTAAAATTGTGGCGTTACACTGTTTTTTATAGTTATATTTACTGTCAATTAAAACCCCTTAAGTGATTTTTTGTTTTGTTTTGTTTTTTGAGTCGGAGTCTCACTCTGTCGCCCAGACTGGAGTGC